TTGAACTCTGGTGGCATTAAAGGTGAAATAACATTTACACAACGGTCTCGTTTTGATCCAACATTTTTGAATTTCACACTCGAATCGGCTGGCAAACAGGCACGGTTCGTTAATCGCAAATTCGCTGAAGACGTCTCCGCATTTCGTATACATACTCTACCACCTGTGCCACATCGCAAAGGTCTACCTAGTTACTGTGAATCCACTGGTGGCTTATATAATCCCCGTGAACTTGATAAATCTACCATACCACCACCTGGTTTTGGCACACAGGATCAATATCCCACTGGAGATTTGAGCGGGAAATTACAAAGTCGCAATAAAGATTACTATCATAACTATTTACTGCCAGGTGCTAGTTCAGAACTTAGTGGTCTGTATTGGGACACCTTTTTACCGTTACAAGGTCTTAAGAGCATAGCACACCGCGGTATGGTTATCTTCACTTATAATCGCACTAATGTTGACAACATTACTGAAAATCCTTGGAGCTGTTCAACTATAACACAATACCTTAAGAATAAGCTGTATCAGAAGCCGATGTATACAGCGCAAGTTCTACTCCGCTATCCAGTGGTGGGACGCGTGCTCTTTCGTCAACCGGTTGAAGAGCCTTGGCAAGACACCACAGTCATATTTGAATACTTAATACATGCCGATGGATCCACACAAAACAATACATTCGAACATCGTTGGGCCATACATAGTAATGCGCCTGGCAAAGATTTTTACGACTGGCAGAATCGTTGTCTTTCCACCGGAAATGTTTTCAATCCACACAAAGTACAGTGGGGAAATCGTTCACTTGATGACTATTGTAAACCACATTTGCCGACAATGTGTCGTGTGGGAGCTTTGGATACACGCGTAGGAAAGTTGACCATAGCGGGGAGAAAGAAAAATGCAGAGAACCTGAGTCGTCTCATGTTTACGGATACGAATTTGCCATTGTCGGGTAGACATAATATTTTAGGGAAGTCATTAGTAATCTATGATGATTTCGGGCCCGTAGCACGAGGCGAAAGACTGGCTTGCTCTGTGTAAGTAAAAATTGGTTTCAGGTAAAATTTTAGCGAAGATTATTAACAAAAATACTTATTTTATTTAATAGCATTATAGGACACGTTCGACGCAAAGTAGTGGCAAAGGACTGGTACGCCAATGGAGATGAATTGACCGTAAATGGGCGCTTGGAAATTACACAGCAATCGGAATACGACATTAGCAACATCGAAGTGCAGTTAAAGGGCTTAAGTGAAAACAGCGGCTATCACATACACATGGTATATATTAGACAATTATGAGAACCTCAAATTATATACTTATTTGTTTATGTACTTCAATTTCTTGCAGACACCAGTTGAATCGAATCTTGAATTTCCTTGTGAAGACACCACACTTTATGGTCACTGGAATCCCTTCAATATAAATGTCAAATCATCACCTCCGCCCAAACAAGGCACAACAGATCAGTATGAAATGGGCGATCTGAGTGGCAAATTTGGCACACTCGATGAACTAGTGCAGTACGAAGACGCCTATAACGACACAAATTTACCGCTTTTCGGTTACAACAGCGTTATCGGTCGTTCGGTGGTAATACATAAGAAGCGTCGAAATGCACGTTGGGCCTGCAGTACACTGGAGCGCGGTTACAGCCCTAGCGAGGCGCGTGAGATACGTGCGATAGCATCATTTCATCATCCCACTGGTTATGCCTACGGTTATATCAAAATGACACAACTAATACATACTGACGATAGTCAATCGGAGACTGTTATCGAGGTGAAATTGAGGCATCCGGGCAAAAACGATCGAAATATGGTTTGACATGCATAAAAATATGCTAGGTGTTTTTTTTTTAATTGGGAATATTTTTAATTTCAGACCCATAATCACAACTGGCAAATATTTGTGAATCCTGTCGGTGTGGATGCTGCAGTAAAACCAACGATAACCCGTTGTGTTGCCGGCGGTTATGTGTGGAACCCTTATTACACCCAACTGGCAGATCCATTAAATGTGCGAATGATAACTAAAATCCATATATTACAGTTCCATATACACAGTTCTAATGAATATCTTCTAACTTATAGCGTGACTTGTACGAGCAGGAATGTGGTCCTGATAATCCATTACGTTGCTATGTAGGCGATGTTGGTGCGCGACTTGGCACAATAAGTAAGAAGTATGCTCTTTAAATGAAATCCACCGTCATTAAAATTTTTTCTCTTTCCAGATCTTGGTGTGGAGCGTGTTGTATTCACAGACTCTAACTTTCCACTCGAAAGACCTGTGGGTGCCATCGGTCGTTCAATAGTCATCTTCGGACCTGAATACTCCTCGGAACGTTTCGCCTGCGCTAATATTGAACCGGATCATAATGTTTTCAAATATGTTAATTTACAGAAACCACCAAGATTCGTTGTGTAAGTACTATATACTAATTTTTAAAACAATATATTATACTCGTACAATTTTATATTTAATATGCTTTGCTAGCGCTCAATTCTTGGAAGAACTACGCTCGGTTATGGGTATTCCAGAATGGATGTTGGATGTGGATGCGCGCAAAACAAAGGAGTTACACGGTGGCGCTTGCATTCAAATGATCATACACTTTAAGGGACCAATAGCACATCGTTTGGAATTGGTAAGATAATTGTTTTTTAAAGGAACAAAGTTGGCTAATATTTAATGTTTTTATATTAGGATATGTCACGCCTAATAGCTGCTGGTCGTTTAGATGCTCCTAGTCTATTCATTCCCGGTTATGTGAACACTAAAAGAAAAGCCACCATTTCGTATAGAACTTGTGGTGTACGGGATCCAAATGAGAAACGTAAGTGTCTCGTTGTTATTTTGATCATTTATTTTGCAATTTATCAGGCTGTGCAATTAAAAAAAAAAAAGTTTTGTAAGAAAATTTTGCAAAACAACCAATGAAGGACTAAGTTCAAGCAGTAGTGAATATGAGAGAAATTCCCAGTTAGAAAGAGCCTACAGTTATCATATTAGAATCACCTCAAATTATATAGAAAATATTTTGAGTAGAGTCTCAATATAGAAATATTTTAATATTTCTAACTTTCGAATGCAGTGGTTACCCAACAAATCAATTTAAAAGAAAAATGTGTTAAAATATTCGAGAAAAATATATAGCACTGTCTAACTGATATAATATGGATTTAGCGACTAGAAAACTTTCACCCATTTTTACTAAAAATTCAGACTAGAAAACTTTCACCCATTTTTACTAAAAATTCAAATTAAGCCCACTCGTTCAATTAATTACATTCAGCATCTCTATTAGGCGCAAATGAAGCCAAACAAAACTAAACAATCTGATAGAATTCACCGGTTTTCAGCCTTAGAAGCTGTTTCTTTTATTTAGATTAGTTAAATAACGTGTGATAAGTGATTGAGAATTTTCCAGTAGTGACGCCAAGAATATTTTAACATAGACTTTTCCTCTCCATACATTAATAAAGAAATTTTAACTAAAAAAATGTTAGATGAATAAACAGTGATATACTTAGCAATATGTCAGAGAATAATATCTCTGTCACAGGTTGGATAGGTAGATAGGGTAAATGTCTGGCGACAAACATTTAGGAGGCCCATTGTGAAACCACTGAGACTAAAATCCTCTCACACTATCAATTCCTCTCTGAACCACACTGTGCTATTAATGAAGTTCCTCAATTAAAAAGGTTTGATATGTACAACTTCAGAGATATCGTCAAGGAAACCTTGACCAATAGTAGCGATTAATTTGTGACACAAAACTTTGCAGTCGCAAGGAAGATTCTCTACATAATATTCGCCTTCTGCCTTTTGATAGCTTCTACAATATGATATCATCAGCTAGCGTGCCTTCCAATAAAACAATTACCTATTAGAGCACCTACTAGAATTCTTATGTCATTCCATATTCATTTCATGCCACGTTTGTCTACTTGTTGACCAAGTCTGGTATTGTTTCCACCGAAACTCAGCTATATCTACAAGTATAACATTTTTGTCGATTAAATACCTACAAGTATCCAGAGGCATATAAATACCCTCTTTATCGCAGTCTATTTGGGATGTTAGATCAAGATATGATTTTAAAGCTCTTTGTCAGAACAATAATGCTTGCTTAATTTGCTGTGACCCTCGCTTTGCAGGCACTGCAGTGATCTGACTGGAGTGGAAGACAATATTTGGAGTCATTTTTAAGTTAATTTCTTAGAAATATCTAAAAAGTATCGAAGGAAACTTGCTAAGAATGATAATGTCCCTTAGTACCGGTGACTAATCCTCCCTGGTTTCCCTCAATTTGAGAGCTGACTTCGCTGTCAGTTGAGGCGTACCACAGCTTATAACAGTTTCATTCACGTAATGGCTTTTTAATTGAAAAATATTTTTGAAGTCTTTGTTTTTTAAATTAATACTACTCTGGTGAGAACTCTTTTGAAAATAAATAAAATCTTCCGAACTGATAATTTTTTAATTATTTTTACTCAAGGAAACTTATTTACATAACTTATTTATATTTATATGAATAACATTTCTCTACTTTCTTTTCAGGAACGAAGACGTTTTACGGAAGTTTTACCAACAGTTCAAATCGTTCGCTGCCAAATTATTTATTATTCGCAATTTTGATTGCGCTGAGTTTATATTGAACAATAATTATTTGTTTAACAAAATCATACACACACATATACATACATACATACATACATAAAAATGTATATGTAGTCCAGAGTTTTTTAAAATTCGCACCTTTTTGTATAACTTTTATATCATTTTAGTGCATAAAAGCGATGAATAAATAAACATAATTTATTTTTAAAACCAAACTCTCTTTCTGTATCTCTCTACCGCTGCGCTCTGCAATATTTACAGCCATTGAATCTCTTTTACCACAATGCCGTCACCATTCACTTGCAAAGGCCGGCACTCTCGACACCCCTAATTTGACTTTCCTCCAAGCAGCTTGTTGGAAATGAGTTTATTATTTTGATTCTCAGCTGGCATTGCGTTTGCGCTGTAAACATGCGCCGTCAGTATCGATTGAAGAATGGATAAATTTGTTTGTGCATATCACGACAAGTTCCAAGCGTTTGCCTGCCAGCAGCAGTTGTGAAAAGTCACTTTTGTAGCCGTTGTGTGCCGCAGAGAAGCAGTACAGCAAATAATTAACAATATTGGAATCAATAATGCATTGCGTTTTTCTAGCGATTTACTTGAGTTTAGCTGTTACGACTTGCAGTGGTACTGGACTTAGTGGTCCGTACCTCTTTTGGGGTCATCAGAGTGTCATTAATTTGCAACCACGCGCTCTTGTCGAGGCCAGCGAAGAAGATCTGACCAATTTATTTCAGGACACTAAGGCCATTGTGGTTTTTGTGCGAAATACAACTGGACGCATTGATGGCAAGGCATATCCCAGATTTCAGCAAGTGGTGAAGTCAAACGCTTGGACATATTTACCACAACATTTTCTTAAAGCGGAACCCTTTAACTACAATGCCAATATAGAGGTGTGTATATATGTACATATATATATAGTATACCATATACGAGTATAAGTATGAAAAATGTAAGAGATTGCCAATGTTTGTTGCGAATGCAGATCGCATATACATACATATAAATCTATATGCATATGGATGTTTGTTTGTTTGAGCTCGAGCGCTTGATAGCATACATGTATGCGATCGCAACGAATATCCCAGTGAGAAATCGTTAATGCAATTCTATTGCGGTATTTGTGTTTAATTTGTCATATGGGAAAAAATGAAAAAATGTTCTTCAGTGTTATATTTAACTACATTCTATACAATAGCTTAATAAACATTAATTTTTAGCTAAATTAGAGATTAAATTCTCAGAAATAGCTAAAGTTTGGAAAGTAGCTGGCAATTGAAATTTCAGGGAGGAGATCCATTTTTGCATTAATCAAAAAAATATTGCTTTATATTTCAACTTCCGAAAATTTTAGTTTAATATTTAAATAATAGATAAATCTTTTTAATTCTTCCATGATTAGAATTAACTTTTTGACAATATATTTAAGTTATAAAAGTTAGAGAATAATTGAAAAATTTTTGCATTATCCATGTGTTCACTGGGTTTCCAATTGATTTATTTTTTTGCGCTCTGCTGCATATGTTTCCATCCATTCGCGACAGATGTAGACTATATATACATGCATTAACATTTTTTTTTTTGCATTCTGTACACCCGAAGGTCATTAATCTAAGCGGCAATGCTGAAGAAGAAGATGAATCAATTGTTTCTGGCTATAATGATGCGCTTACCATTTACGGCGAAGGAGAGGTATTGGGCATATTAGCGAGTCGCGAAGATGACACACATTACATTTCTAAAAGAGACGCTAAAGAACGTGAAGAACGCACAGAAGAAGAACGTGGGGCAACAACGACTTCTCAGACACCAACCGCTGATGAGGAAGACAAAACTTTCATTTACGTAGCACTTGGTGGGTATACCTAATATATTCTTAACACAAGGGAGCACATTTGACTGTGGAAAGGTGGGAGAGAAAGGCAAAATTTGTTAGAGATGAAAGTGGATCGGCGGTGATATTCTTTACTTTCCATTTCAAACTGGTCAATTCAAATATTGCTCGCTAGATATAAAAAAATACCAGTAGAAGTCAGATTTACTAGATTTGACTCTATGATAATTCTCTGTTCTCGACACTATTTTATTCACTCTTTGGAACGCGTTATGCGTCGAGTCCGAGCACATTACTATGAACAGATTTGCTGAAGGAATTAAATTCAGACTATGATTTGTGCCAAGTATTTAATTCATATAAAACGAGTTTTATTTTTTTTTTTTGTTTTTGAAGATCCTAATCATAGTCATAATAGAAGTTGGTTGAGATGATAATGTTCAAGGGAATTGGAGTTTGAGAAAAATACTTCAAAAGTTATTTTATACTATATGTACTTATTTAAATCGCAAAAAATGTTTGAACCAGCAGAACCAAATCTATGTATATTATTTTAATAATAAGTCATAAAAATTAATGAAATGGACTACATAAATGTTGATAATATTACGCTATAATTTTACAGGCGACAAAGCGGTGCTTTATGTAACCTCAGCTCCAGTAATTAATATCACCGGCAGATTAAACGACACCAAGCTTATTTCGCATAACAAGGATGTTACTTTTGATGATCAAAAGGGTAAAGGATATGGGCGTCTCAATATTATATTCTCGGTGGAGACACAGAAATTATTCTTGCGCTTCAATTTTACATTGAGTCGTGGTTACTGGTACATGAAGGCTGTTGAAGTGGAGTACAATGATTACAAATCGGTGCTACCGGTTGTGGGTACAATTTATAGCATTCCGTCGGCACCAATTGGTTTTTCATACCGCTGCTCCTCGCGCAGTTTACAATTTGGCAATGACAGCGACAGTCTCGTCATAAATGACTTTCAGGTGAATACATTTTATTTACTTGTTAATATTTTGTTGTAATAAAGTCAAAATATTTTGTATATATGCTCAGGTGCAACCCTGGTTGAATGGTGTGCCACATTTTGGCGATGTTTACGATTGTGTTGGCTTTACAACTGCTCCTATTTGGGCTGGCATTTTGGTAACACTATTCTTGATTGGCATTTTGTCACTGGGACTGATTGCATTGATGGATATTAAAACACCAAATCGATTTGAGAGTTCACGCAGCAAGCAATTATCACTCTTTATACAGGAGTAAATAAATATTATAGCTTTAAGTTTAAGTCCACTCTTCTGTGGTTACTTAAATTGTCGCTATTAAGAGTTCGATATATTAAGTAATCAAATGTGTAAGTAATTTTGGTTGGAAATGTTCATACTAATTACCTACGGCATAGCAAATCCTTTTGTGCTCCTGACATTGGCTATAGAATTTTTTCTCATACATTTATTATTTATTTTAATTGTTATGTATGTTTATATCTTATTATTATATTAACCCTTAAATGACTATAATGTTATGATGTTTATTAGCCAACAATATCTGGTTAAAGTATATATGAATATAGGTAGTTATGTGAATATCCAAAATAAATACACATCATTCAAAAAAAATATTCGTATATGTACTTTATGTATGTGGATCTACTTATATTTGAAAAATGCTGGGTAACATTTCTGCAACGCTTGAGAAACTGTTACATAAGTTAGGTATAGCGAGAAAACTGATAAAAAAGTTTAATCTGTAGTATATTCTTCTCGTTCAATGTTTGTTCGCTAATATTTAAGTCCATATAGGTAATTTATTACAGTATGGAGTGATATTTTTTATGGATCAAAGAATATGTATTGAATTTTGCGTTAAAAATTAAATAAAGTTCTCCAAGCCACTTGAAATGTTGACTTCGGTGAGTTCACTTTGTCTTTTAAAAGTGTTTATAAGTGGTACAAGCGCTTTACAGAAGGCCGAGAAGATGTTGATGACGATGAGCATCCTGGAGATGCAAACACGTCAACGAGCGAAAAAAACATCGATACGGTGAAAAAAATTATTTTTGAATGTTGGCATATCAATTGGCTCATTCCATTCAATTTTCTCGAATGTTTTAGGCAACGTGTGACAGAGAAATTTGTTCCGAAATTGCTAAATAAGCAATAGCAATGTCGCATTAGTACCGCTCAGGAGTCGTTGAATGACGTCAACAATCATGCCTCAACCACCGTATTCATCAGATTTTGCTCCCTACGACTTTTTCCTTTTACCAAAACTGCAGAAACCAATAAAAGCAAAGCGTTTAGCCCCAATTGATGAGATCAAGTCAGAATCGAAGAAAGTGCTGATGGTCATACCGTAAAGCGTTGACACAATTGTATTATATCCGAGGGGCATTACGTTAAAGGGTACAAAATAGATATTAATGAATAAATAAGTACTTAAAAAAAAAATCAAAATTCACCTTTTCCTTCGAACACACCTCGTATATGTAGATGAAGCGGAGTCACCTAACTAACTTAAAGTTCCATTTAAGCTCTGAAAGTAAAAGAACTCTGATTTGGCTCCCATTTTCTAGTATATATGTTGAGCATTTCGAAATCAATGACGATATAGATAAATTAATTTGGTGCGATTGCATGAAGTTGCCTATCATACAAAGTCCAAAGGTTTTCATTGTGATGCCGGTAATAATTGGAGACGAAGAAATATCTGAAAACTACCCTAAACCATTTCGAAATACTTAATTTGCTTTCAAAATACTATCTGACCAAATATTTTGATACAAGTCTTTATACGATATGCTGATGCTCTGCTGTCTCTCTGATGCCAACACGATGATTTTCAGGCACTGTTTCTTTAATTTCTCGAGTGCGGCAAGTTTTCGATGACCTTCATTAGATACTTTGAGCCACTTAAATACTCGTACCTGTATTCGTGATAATAGAAATAAATTTTTGGAACATTTGTATATAGTAAATACACTTAATTTTAATGAAAGCCTCATTGCAATTAGAAAGAATGATGAATGAATAAGAATACGTTGTATTACATGTTTGTATGTGTTTGCACATGCTCTTAAGCGCTTTGGACGTATTCCTGCGCATGTTTGTTTCGTGCCTTTTTCCTTTTATCCCATTTATGTAGACTGGCAAGCTTTCTTTGCTTATCGATCTGTAGCTCAAACAGTTTTACTTTCTAATTTTGACCGGTATACACTTGTGTACATAAATACTTTAACGCCCAAATCGGGGAGCATTAGCAAAAACTAGCCAAAACGCATACGCAAACAAACAAAAGTATGTCGCCCGTCGAGTGGTCCGTTTACTCCATCAGCAAACTTGCAGCCCAAATGGCACACATGAAGAAAAGTGAATTCTGGTAATACACGACACCTGGTAAATGAAAAGAAAAGTTCTTCGCTTTCTGCATAACCACAAACGATGTGTACGCATAACGGTATGTATATGTATATTTTTGCAACAATGTTGCATATTCAAGTATTTTGCTCTTGAAAGTTTACATTTTATTATTTTAATTCAATTCAAATTACTACCGGTCAGTTGACTTTCGTTGTCATTTCTATGAAAAACGAAATCTATTGCTCGCTGTAGCTACTCGCGCATGCGCAATTAAGCCGCCTAATCAAAATGTATGAACTGCCGTAGCCAGCCGCCAACCGCCAACCGCATACGCATCCACACACAATCTGTGTCAATGCCGCCTCGTAAGTACTGTAAGTAAGTAAGGCACCGGCACCAACCTGTCTGATGATGTCCAGCAGTGAATGTTGGCAGAAACAAACAGGATCGATGTGAAAGTGACTGTGTTTTTAAGTTAGTATTTACGTGGACGAACACAAAACGATGTTCGGCTATTTGATTTATGTCGCAATTGAGTAAATCGACGGTCAGGTTATTATGTTTGTGGGTTGTAGATCTCAAGTTGTCGAGTAATATGTATGTATTTATTTGAGTATAAACGATTTAGTTAAATTTTCCAAATTTTTTAAAATTATAAATAAGTTAGATAAGAATTGAAAGTTGAAAACATACATACTTTACTAGCACGCTTTAGATGCCAATTTTAATTTTGTTTTAGATGAAACGATTATATAGAACCAGCTTATTTAAAACATTATTCCAAAAATTGGCTTCTAGCCGCCACTTTCTATCGAAATTGCAATAAGTTTTTTATAAATAATTAGTGTTTAATAAAGCTAAAAAGATTGCAGTTAAATTGTTTTCTCTCACGTTTAAAATAAATTATCGTAGGTTGACATATTTCGAGAGCTCTAGACTGGCCCAACCCCATCATGGAGTTCGAGTCAGAACTCCCCCTACCTACGAGTATATAATATTTCAGATTGTCTGTCAAATCATACACTGTATATATATCGAATGGGTATAGAATATATATATAGAATTAACCTTAGTATGAAGTGAATTGATCATAAAATCAAAAAACGAGAATGTTAACTTCGGCAGCACCGCAGCTATAATATCATACCCTTCACAGGTGCGTTTACTATATGGCTAAATCGACTTAACTCGTCACGCTGATCATTTACATTTTATGATCTCCGACATTTCCTTCTGGATGTTACAGACTTTGTGGCTTACTTAATATACAATCTTCAGGGTATACAAATTAATAAAATAAGGTGTTTTTTTTTGGATAAGAAACACATATATTTTATAAATTACTTGTTATATTTCTTCAGTAAGTTCTCCAAATGTGTAAAGATGATTTTGCCTTCACACCATATACCGCATTCTACAAATGTGTCTGCTCATCTATCAAACAGAAATAACACCCTACTTTGCAAAAAAAAAGTATATTTATATACGTTTTCTGAAATATACCAATTAATCGTTGCATTATTCATAATTATTGGCACCGCATATTTGTGCGTATTTATAAAAATAATTGTCATTACCGACTTTGTTAGTCATTCAAAGTAATTTCCTCGAAAGAGAAATCCATTTTCCACCGCATAGCTGCAACATTCATGGAAAAGTTAATGTGGAAATGCAGCGACAATGCGCAATGTTGCACGCAACGCACACATACACACACTTAAGTTGCGCACACAAACACATGCCACTGGAGAAGTTCGAAAAGCCTTATTACCCACTATTGCCAACTATTGCAATTAGGCTTAACGCTTTTGCAGCAATATCTGCACTCATACATAGGCATTGTTTTTTTTGTTTGTGCGCCATAAAATCATCATGGCATCATCATTCGAGATACACATAAGTACATATGAACATAAGCATGGCAATATGTCACTCGCAGTAAAACAGTTTTTTTAATATAATTTTTCATCATAAACTTTTTAATGGTCGTAAAAGTGTTTCATCTAATCAAAATGCTGCATTTGATTTGAATAGTTATCATTCTGTTGAACGGATTTGTAGCTAACTATTGTACATATGCATATAATATAAGTAGTGAAAAGAGAAACTATAATGTATTTAAATTAAATAATATTGATAATTTTGGGCATAAATTCCTATGTTGAGTTGAATCTTTTGAAAAATTAACTTTCAAAAACAAATATTTATTTTTCATGAAAAAAATCTTAAATTTAATAAGTATTGTAGTGATTATTTAATTCGCTTATTCCAGTTTAGAGGTTTTGAAAAATGGTTTAACTAGGAGCCAAGAAAAAGGAAACGAATTTCTCTCTTTCAAGCATTATTTCACACCTAGTAACCATGTGTTTAATAATAATACTGTGAAGATGCAGTGTAAAAGTCGCCGAGTACCTCATTTGAAAAATGCAATTTTGAGAAAAACGTTTTTAAAATAATGTGCTAAACAAACTGAACCGAACGCTTCAACACTACAGCGATTTACACAGAGAAAAAAATATTTTTTCAATAACCTTAAAACATACTTGATCGTAAGTACACAATTTATCCAAGTTAGCTAGTTTTATTATCATAATTTTAAGTAAAAAGTAAAAGAGTACTTTTTTCTTAATTATTTACTTATATAATTAGTTTGATAACATGATGAGTGTAAGCTTTACACTCGCCACATTTACATTTTCTTAATCGCGCAGGCAAATTAGCTGGCTACTCCAAAAATTAGGGATATATTTATACGAAGTGTCTACTTCTCCGTCTGTATATACGTCAAATAATCCCTCAGTTTTTGGTATATCTATCTGAAATTTTGCCCACGAAGTTTTACTCCTAAGAAGCTGCTGATTTGTCGGAATCGCAGGTGTCAGACCTCTACGAGGTTTGTTCAAAAATTATCGCGACTTTTGTATTTCTTAAGAAAGTGTTTATTTATTCATGAATATCTATTTTTACTCTTCAAACTAATCACCCCTATATAGAATGCACTTGTACCAACCACCAAAGTAATTTTATGTGATCTTCAATTTTGGGAAAAAAAGGTACAGAGGCTAGGTGTGGGGAATACGGTGGCTGCGGCAGAATTAATGTGTTGTTTTTGGGCAAATACGAGGTTTGTTCAAAAAGTACCGTGAACTTTGAATTTTCACGAGCTACTGTATCCCATCTTCACCGATATCTACTTACCTACATAATAGCGTAATTGTATTATAACTAAGAGTGATTACTTTAAAGAGGACAAAATAAATATTCATGAATAAATATTACTTTCTTAAGAAATACAAAATTCGCGATACTTTTTGAACAAACCTCGAATAGCATATAGCTGCCTTAAAAACTGATCGATCTAAATCACGTTCTTGTATGGTCATTATTTTATTTGACAAAATATCTTTACTAAATTTGGCACAGATTATTGTCGAAAGCAATCAGATCAGACTACTATATATAGCTGTAATACAAACTGACCGATCAAAATCTAGAAAAAGATCTTTTTGTACCCCTTAAGTGTTGCTTCGGCGCGTTGAAGTTATAATTTTTTTGTTTTATACTATCAATAATATCAAACCTCTAAAAATTATTTTGCCATGAAAAGTGTCTAATAACTAAGAATAAGAGTTAAAAATGGCTTCACATGCAGTTTATCATTGAATATTCTTTCCCTTTGAGGACAACTAGTAGACACCTAACATATCTATCTTGGAAAAGTGGCACCTTCAACACTGTACAGGTGTTATAAGCGCCACATTATTGTTACTACTTCATAAATACATATTTTTACGCTTAATGCATTAATTCTTAGGTTAAAACTATGTACGGTTGGTAACACTGAAGAAATTACAACTAAAATTATCTATAACCTTGACTTCTTAACACCTAATTTAACAAAGTACACAAAATAACAAAGGCAAAACTAAGTTTAAGTGTTACACATTAGATAATATGAACCTTATACAAACATAGGTACAGATACGTTGCTATAACCGTAATAATTGTTGCGATATATTATTTTAAAAAAATTTGCTAAACAAAATTTACAGTCCGTCGCGGCTACAAAAAAAGTCAAAGTATATAAAGTGACTCCTTGCATAGAAGAGCATTATTTATATATGGGTAAACATATAAAATATGAAAAATACAAGTATGTATATTAAAAATAAAATATTATATAGAAATATAAATATATAAGTAACAAATATGTACATATATGAGAAGTTAAATATTTAATTACATCCACAAACTTTGTGTGGGTGAAACCAGTGGTACGCATAAATTAGTTAAACATTGGCCCCCAAACTGTGCGCCAAAATGGTTACAGGTGTACTCATCGCTTGCTTTCTTAATTTGACTTTTAGCAAACAATTAGTGCTTAAAGACATTAAGGTATGTTTCTTCCTTTGTTTTATTTCCAAAAATTAACAGACACTCATGGTTTTATTTGCAAAATATTCAAATGAATATGTAAATTAAAAAAATTACTGTGAAAAGTAAGCCATTGACATGAGTTAAGTAATTTGGTCTTTAATGAAATATTTAAAATTTTTATTGTTTTTTTTTTTGTATTTGCAGTGGTGTGCAAATGTGTGCTGGTTTTTTTAAAGCAATCGATATGCAAATGCACTGAAATTGATGAAAAATGCTAAGTAAATTTTCTCAGAGGATTTCGGTAGGAACAACAAAAAAATATTTTTACTTTCCATGAAATACTTCTTTCATATAAATGTATGTGTAGAATAGGAGTCCTTCTAGCGAGTTAAAAGTCTAAACATGTCTGATAATCCTCTTATTCTTAATTCTTTTCTATTTATTTTGGCCAATTTTCTAAAAACAAAATTATACCGTATTTAAAACATAATGAATTTGATTAAAATATGTGCTCAAAATTTAAAATCTTATCAATATAAGCATCAGCATAGATGCATAAACAATAACAACAACAAAGTAACTTGTAACAATTGCGCTCAAAATTAGTGTAATTAGTATCTGAGTTGAAGCTGCATATATGTATACGATCTTATTATGTACTCTTTTCTCTCTGCTTAAACAATTTTCTTAATTATTTCATTAATTTGTTTATCTTTCTTATCTATTTCTATTGTTCTTTCTGCTTTTAGCTCTCTGTGTTATATTTGTTGGTCGAAAGTCAAAGAAACCCGTATAAAAACCGAAGTGTGGCAAGTGCCACCGTACAACAACCACTTGCCTTTACATTACTTCCTCCTCACTCTGGCGCTACTGCCACAGTCTGGCCTACACCTTTTAAGCACTTGTTTTTGTTTTGATTGTCTTTTGTTGCCGCTGGAACTGGCTTTAGCACTGAAACTGGCATTGGCACCTAGCCGAGCAATTCTTCAGCATAACTGCTTTGATGCTCAAGAAAGTCGTATAAGCTGTGGTCATGACTTTCAGTCTGCGCTGGACTTGTATCGTGATCGGTTGTGTTTTACGGAAGAAGTGTTTAATTTACAGTTTTATTGCCGGCAAGTAACGAAAATCAACGCAAGGTGTTATGAAAATTTAAATTCTTTTGTTGCTCGGTGTGCGTTGAAGCGATTTGTTTTTTTAAAGTTGTTACCCATATTAACGTGTTTATATATTTTTTAAATGGACTGTTAAAAATTGAACTCCTTGTACTTGACCAGAAATATCGAAAATATCAAGTGATAATATTATTTGAATTTATATAAAATTTGCAACTATATGCATCTGTCCATTGCATTTAAAAATTATTACACAATTTAAAATTTTTCGATTGTTGAATATGATAGGATAAATACATGAGTTTCTTAATTATATTGGAATTGGTTAAAATGGCATTGATTATACAAAGAAACTGAGTTTGGATATTAAATACAGCTTTTCTGAAAATCATCAAAAAAAGACTTGGTAAGTATTATTTTCTAGGCTCAACTCATTCTAAAAGGGATCATGAACTGAAATCACCTACCTATTAAATAATATTCCTATTCCGTTACTTAACTTTATTTTGCATTGAATAACTTGTATAACGGTATGCAAATATGTATTCAGAGCTTTTATTGCACTCTTTGTTTAAGATAAACAACTACCAAAAATGTGAAAAAACGCTCCACAACTTCGATTTTCTAAGTACTGTATAAGGAATTAAATAATGTCTGCAATATTCTACAATACAAGTGAAAGAAATAAGAAAAAAACGTTAACTGCGGTTCCACCGAAGCTATACTACCCTTGACAGTTACATTTCTTATGATATAAATTGGTACAAAAAGGTCCTTATTTTGATTTTGAGCGGATCAATTTATCCGCAGATTGTAGCAATGCCTTGGAAACTAATATACGCCAAATTTCGGGAAGTTATCTTGTCAAATAGAAAAGTTTTCCATATGAGGATTTGATTTCGATCGGTCAGTTTGTATGGCAGCAATATCCATATCGGTAATATGGTCCAATATCGGCGAATCCGACAAATGGACAGAGGGTCATAGCTAAATCGATTCAGCTTCGCTGATCATTTACATATATAAATACTTAATGAGTGCTCCGACGTTTCCTGCTGAGCATTACAAACTTCTTGGCAAAATGAATATATCCTATTCGGGTTATAAACATATATGTAATGTGTTCTCATCTTATGTAAATTTAAAGCCTAACAATATCATAAGTATCACTGAGGGATATATATTAAAAATGTATAAAATAAAATGGAAAGAAGTAACTTGACTGAAATATATCGGAATTTTTTGTTCATTTTCGAAAGCATAATATAAATAATAATAATAATTTTATTTTGACGTTAACATAATTATAACTTTTAACAAGATTATTTCATATATCATGAGATATATTGTATAAAATACAAGATATTCTTCTACTTTGCGTCTCAATAGATTATTACCGCATATGTTAAGTTCTTCCTTATTGGTTTAAACTGGTTTTGGCCAAAAAATATTAATACATTGGATTCACCCACAGTGCAAGTACTAAGTACCTAAAACTTTTCTCGCCCACCTTCAAAACTAACTATAAATCTTATGAGCTACAAATGTTGCATTACATTTGAATTGGAATAATGAAAAAACACTTTCAGGTAAAGTACATAAGAATAGCAGCTAGATCTATTCCTATGGTATAATCACCATCACATAATAAATATTAGCAATCGTCAATACTATATAATAAATAAAAATATATAACAAATTTTTTAAGAAGACTCACCTGCTATCAAGAACTGAAACTCTACGATAAAGCCGCATTTTGGTAAAAAAAACCTATAAATATAAAACAAAACAGTTCTTCACACAATAGCACTGACACAGACTTTGCCTCCACAAGGCATTCACACATTATCACCAGCCCTTTGGCAATGCATTGAAACACAAGCTTTTACATACATATTTATATATAATATATATATCACCATTTGACACAAATCACTTAATTTTTTTTTATATTAACGCTTAAAACAATTTACACCAATTTTTACTCATTTATCACAAACGAACGGAAACATCTACACGACAATTTAATGATAAAAAAATAATAATTAAAATTTAGTAAATATATATACATATATGTATTATATATTTTTTACTATTCTCCTGCAAGTAGGAAAGTAAATATAAAATACTGACATATTCAATGATGGAAAATAAAAATGTGAAACAGTACATTAAACATTACTGACTTTAAAACTTGTGGAGATAAATAATAATTAAAATAACAAACAAACAAAAAAACATATGTGCAATAAACCACATTAGACTCAAACTTTTTCAAAACAAAACTAAATTTTATAACATTTCTGGCAACGCCATTTCGGAAATTGCTTTATCCTACTTCCGCTGCCATTTCAAATAGCTTGCATACGTTTGCTATTGGTCGATCACAAAACCTGTGAATTCGTCAAGACCTTAGCACAAAGATTTGCTTGTGTAAATTTCATAACTTTTAATGAAGCGTCAATTTTTTTCTATTTTAACACTTTTACACACAGCAAAATACCACTTTTCTTCTTTGATGTGCTTTGCGTAATTACCCACATCTGCATATGTATATTAAGAGCTCCTTTGGCCCTTGACTTTTACAACACAAGCTAAACATATACATCTTTTCACATAAAACACAAACGAAATAAATTTTTTGACACAATACACCTTTGTTTTATTGATATTAGTATTAAAAGTACCAATATATCACAAGGGAGTGGGAAATGTATGCGCGACAATTGAAAAGGCGGAAGAAACTAACAAAGTGAATAGAGTTGCATTTGCATTGACGGATTGTCAGTTGCGGACTTCACTGTTAGAGGAATTACTGAAACTCTAACAATATTATTTTTAACGCGTATCCGACCATAAGATGGCGCAGCTTTCAGGATACATTCGTAAAGTGCAAAATGTCACAAATGATGCCAGATCGGTTAAAATTTGGAATTACACGAAAACAGTAAACCATAAAACTTTAGTATACACCGGTAACATTACTTTTCGAATTGCTTTATTCAATTTCGGCCATTTCATACATATCCTTAGTGTTGGTGAAAAAACTGCGCTGTAGTCACGTGACTTTTATGACCAATGCCTTCCGCACAAGTATTTATTTCGATATTTCTTTATAGATAATTAATGAGACTAACTTTATTCCCTATTTTATACCGGAGTTCATATGATGATGCAGCAATTGTTCTAGAAACCACAATATAAAAAACTTGTATAGCCAATAGCACTCGCATCAATTTGCTTCCTTGCCTGTACAACGCACTCACATCTATAATCATATATTAAGAACTTCTTTAGCTCTTGGTTTATTAAAAGACAACCTATGCATGGCAGAATTTTCACTTTTTAACACTATATATTCCTAGCGCATCTGGAACTTCTAAGCAACAATTGAAATGAGCGTGAAAACTGATCAAATGTAAAGAGTTACATTTGCATTGACACATTTTTACATGTGGTATTCCCTATATGAATTATTTTGTCATCAAATTTGAAAGAAACACAACAACACATTTATACGAAATAATAATACATTTATAAATTTAAATATGCACATTTAGTCTTTCAACAATAATTCTCTTCATAAAATATATTTAAGTAAAGGCAAATGCAATAATTAATTTAAAAATATTTACAGATTAATTTATATTTGATATATGTTTACCAAAAGTCTTTTCAGGCCTTCTCTGGTAAAAAACCAACAAAGTGTGTGGTTTTTAATTAAATTAATATTAAATAATAGTAAATATTGTATTTTAGGGACATTCTAAACATTCAAAATTTCGTAAACGCACCTTATGTTGTAATCCTGTAAGTTCGTAATCGTCTAAAAAAGATGGCGCTATCTATGTTACAGAACAAAGATATACAAAGGACTAAAAAATAAAGCTGACAGATAGAAGTTACAAAACTAGTTTAATTAAAAGCAAGGATTATACATTCATTGAATTTAATGGCTTAAAATATATATAATACTTTTAATTTTTGTTATTTATTTGCATTCTGGCAGCTCTATTCCTTCTATTGCATTCTCCAGTTTCCGCCGCCTTTTCAAACGTCGCTCATACATTTCCTATTTTCCTGTGAAAAATTTGCAAATTGTGTGAATATTGTGTTGTAAATTATGCAAATAAGGAATTTCATCAGAAATAATGTTGTGTTGAGTGTTTTTATTTATTCGAACAAAAAAGAGCCTATGGAGGTACTATTACATATATTTCTGATTCCGAATAATTTTCTGTGCAACTGTAAGTAAATTACCTTGAAGAAAAGAATATTAGATGAGTTTGCAAATTATCCTTGAACTTACTATTTTATAGGGAGCTAATCAATGATGATAGTCGCCCACTTGGCAAAAAGGCAGCAGGAGGGCTACTTAGTATTTGCATTTTTTTGTAGTAGATATCAAGAAGGTAATTATGGTATTTTCTTAGAGGGTTTTAAGTAGGGTAAATACATAGAGAGACGATAGACTACTTACTTTATACAGAAAAACAATTGATGGCATTGAAGAAGTTGTTGCTGGTCATTGTCGGTCATTTAAAATCTGTATGTACTTATACATATACCCTGAACAAGGTATATTGCCACGAAGTTTGTAACACTTCAAAATAAAAGTCGTAAAATGTATACATAAAAGATCAGCGTGATGAGCTGAGTCGATTTAGCTATGTCTCTCTGTCTGTATACGCGAATTAGGCCCTCAGCTGTCACTTAAAGACTGAAGTTAAGGTTTTTTGGTTTCAATTATCATTGTGTCCTTTTATTTACTTTATTTTCACTAAACTGTGTCAAATATTTTTTAATTAAACACATACGTAATTAAGTAAGTTAGAAATTGCAAAACAAAAAATGCAACAAATTTCGAATAAGTTTTAGAACACATAACGGTTGCGAATATTATAATTACAGAAAGATCTGTGCTATTTTGAATGAAATTATGACGAGCAACCCGAACATTGTAGACACAAAAACAACAAAATGATAATTTAATGGAGGGCTGATATGGACATAATTACATTCAAAAGTATATAGAAAGTTCTCAACAAATCCCACAAATTCTCAAATTCAAAATACATACATATTCCATAGTGCGGAAGTTCTAAATAATTACCGTCATTTGTGTATACTTGAAATTCTCTTTTTCTTACTTCACGCTGAACTTATCAAGCCTTCCGGCTCGGAAAAAGCTTAATAGTGGTAGCAAGCATTGGTCAACGCTGGCCGGCCACTGTCTTTTCTACGCTGAAATTCTTCTCCGCTAATGATTTTACTGCAGCAATCAATGTATTCGTTATTGTTGTTGTCCAAAGCAAAAGTAGGTCTTTTTACTGAAATTTGAATTGCTAGCACTTTTCTAAAATTCAGCTCTTACGTTTATAATGTTTTTTGGAATTTGAATAAAAA